TCCATCGCAAGTCAATCAACAAGTCAAGTAAATGGCTGGAGTAGAGCTTTAGAAAACAAGCTCAAATTGGCCATACTAAGCTTAGCTTTGATCTACTTATTTCTTAAAAACACTTCTAGGTCCTTCTAATTGCCTAGTGAACAGTGAAAGACTAGCACAGTTGATTGGGTTATAATCAGTAGGGGAAAGTGTGAAACAGCAGTTCTATGAGTTTCAGTGATCACATCTCTGTTTGATTAGGTGGATTTTTAACCATCAGTGAATGTTGCTCTCCTTATTTACACACTTACATTGTATGCATCCACCACTCTGACTATCAACTAGATAAACTTAAAAAAAAAAAAAGTCTAAGGGAAAAAGGTTGTACAAAATTATAAGTAGAATCCCAGCAATCCACAAACACCAACTATGCTCCAGTAGGAGACCACAGGCTTTGGATCAGGAAAGACGGATGCATCAGATTTATGGCAGATCTGTGTTTTAATAAATAAATACAAAACATTACATTGGGATAAAACTAACTAATATTGAGAAGATTTACAGTTTAGAATCATGTCTGTGACAAATGTAAGGAGATTGGACAGAAACTGGTTTAACATAAAACCTGTAATATTCTCATTTGTAATGAACTGCAATCATGAAGAGACTAATTAGAATTTAAAGTGGAACTTCCTAAATTTAATCAAAGGGCATGTTCTCTCTGGACTGGAGAAGATCCCAAAATATTCCCAATATTTCTCGAGGAGCCGAAATCTAGTTTTAGAAACCAAAAACTATGGGGTCATTCATGGTGGTGTCACTCTAGTTACAACATTAGGGAGAAATCATGATATATAGTCTATGTCACAGGGGCAGTGGTGTAACAATAGCCATAGCAGCCCATGCGGCTGCTATGGTTCCTGGGGGTGGAAGGAGGCCCCATTAAGGATTGCAGAATTTGCTGTTGACACTGACATTTCCAATCAAGAGCTGACATCAGATATACAGGGGGAGACGGTGCAGGCAGCTATCCTACTACCTGACTTTAACATCATTGACAGTAGGGAGGCTGCTGGAGGCCCCCATCAAAATTTTGCTATGGGGTCCCATGATCTATGGTTACCCCCCTACACAGGGGAGTATTACAGCAGAAGTAAACCAGTGTAAATGTTGAGATTTTGCCCTAATGTGCAAGTATTTGAACATTATAGCACACTTACCTTACAAGTCTGCCCTTCTCCAGTGCTTTTGGATCGTTCTTCAGTCCCCCGCTCTGTCCCCTTCCACTGCCATCTCCTACGACAACACTTCCAAGTTCCTAGAAGTCCTCTTCAGTCATTGGGCAGCCACTGATGATGCAATTCCAGTGCATGTGCACACAAGGAGATCCTACAAGGCACCTGGTCAATTTATGGCGTCTTAGAGATGCCGTTATTGGGGTGAGTGTGGACACTGCATGGCACATGCACTGTAGAGCGTACACACAATATAAAAAAAATGCTGGGGGGAGGGGAAGACTTTTCTGTCAGAAAAGACTTTGCATGTTATGCATGTTTTATTGACTTTAGCTTTATTAAAGATATGCTGGGCTGGTGGCTCTGAGTTGATTAACTTCACCATTCAGACATCGATCAAAGCAGGATCTGCAGTGAGTGGCACAAGGTGGGAATTATATAGGTACCTTCTCCCCTTGCAGACCTATGGGCGCAGCATTTGGCAGAGGGAAGTTTTCCAACATCAACCTCATTGTGGTTGTGAAATGTCATGTGACAAATGCATGAATCTTAAAGGAAGCTGATGCAGAAAGCTGTGAAAAGGTGTCACCATAAAACATATCCTTTAGGAACACCCAATGTTCACTATGCCCACCAACAACAGTGGAAATCTGGCGCACTTTGCATGATACACTTTATTTAGTCCAGAGAAGTCTGTCCCTACCCTAAAAGAGCTAGTTGGTTGCGTGTACTCCTCATGTCAAAGGTTTGCAGCGTGCCTGCCTTTGCTATGTAGAATGTCTGGCACAAGGGTAGACCGTGTGCAATAATTTTAGGGAGGTTTCTATTTGTGTTACTTAGCTAATTCTACTAATCATTGTGCAACAGAGCGGTTGCTGCGATCTAAGTGAAAACAAGAGTCCACTCGTTAACTCTGAGCTCTCTCCAGAATGACAGCAAGAGACGCAAGAAAACCTGGAGGTGTTTATTTTAGAGAACAGCAATTTTCAGGAAAGGAAATGTGACTCCTAAAGTGTAAAGTTCAAGAGTAGAAGACTGTGCACCTTGCCAGCCATGTTAAACATAATATTACCTTACTTTAGGTTGTACTGAAAGAGAACCTGTCAAGACAGAGACATGGGAGCTGCACTGATAACTTCTTTGAATGTACAAGCTTTATGGCTTGCTTTATTCCTCTATCTGAACACAATAGCCACAGTAGATGTAGGAATTGAAGCGCTGCACCAATTAAAAGTGTCCACAGACAACTTTTTTCCATGAGGGCCGGCTGGATTGGTTGCTGACATGCCTGAAGTACTCTTATTGCAACTCAGTGCAACATTCAAGCTTCAGGGATTGTAGTCCACATATGTGATTTCGCTCATTAAGCTCTGATGAAGGGGGTGTGTTTTAGACCCCTGAAATGTGTTAGATACGCCACTTGACTTGAGCCTAATGGAAAAAAGTTGTATCTGGACTATTATAATTATTGTGGAGCGTCAATTCCTACATTTCCTACAGTAGACATCTACTGTGTTCACATTTAAGCCCAGGGTACTGTGGAGAGAAGGCTGTGGATGTCCAATCTACGCCGGGAGTGAATAGAATTTAACGTGGAGATGTTTTGGATTGTGGAAGCTGCCTACCTGTTATACAGATCGCCCATATTCACATCACTTTACAACTTTTGGATGGATGAATGGAACTGAACTGGATGAGAAACACCAAAAGGATAACCACACGGGTCCAGTGCTTTCGTTCTATATTTACAAATATGAATACAATAGCTGGCAGTGGAGAATTATCCATCCATGTTGTTTAGAATGGACGGGGGAATCAATTTATCTTCTCTTATTCAGCTGGTCGTGTATGGTCAGCCTTATCCGTGCTTCACTAATTAGAAGTTCAGTTTAACAAGCTTATATCAAGTATAGTGGTGAGGCACCTAATATTCAGCATGCTCGCCCCAGGCCAGTGATTCACCCAGCTCAGAAGGATCCCTGTGTGTGTTGCAAAGTAGCCACCGCTTCAAGCTCGCTCCCATCATGGACTACAATCTCATGTTTAGTTTTCTCATTTGTATTGAGCTTATAGTCCATCACGGGAGTGAGGTTGTAGCGGTGGCTACTATACAACACACACAGGGACCATGGGGAACAAAAGTAGCCCCCCTCCAGAAGGAAGGACAGTGTCAGCACCAATTCAGAGATGATTTGAGGATCTACAGCCGAGTGATACACAAATAAGAGACATTTTTGTTAATAGTTAGGGTCCTTGAATGTATTTTTAAGATTTAACTTAGTGTCACTTTAAGTGATAGACTCAGCGTTACATTAAGTGATTGACTCAGCATTACATTCAGTGATTGACTCAGCATTACATCAGGTGACACAGTGGAAACAACTTTCATTGATGGAGTTAGCAAACTGATGCGAGTCCAAGTGTCCTTTTCCTGGAGATATATTTCCCATCAAGATTCCTTGGGAAAAAAAACAAATAATAATAATAATGCCTTTGATGATTGGAGTCAATGCTCAGTATGGATACCCAAACCCAAAGGTTTTTTGATGTATTGGAATCATTTATTGTCTCATCTATAAAGTAGATGAATAGAAAAAGGGCATTTATTCCTTTAGAGGTCAGTTGCTGTAAAAAGAAAAAAGGGAAAAACATTTTTTTTTCTTTTTGGGAGGGGGGGGGGGGGGGTTTTACTTGGGGGGGATTTTAGTTACTAGACTTGTGCACAGCATTAAAATTAGTTTAGGATGAAACACATGAAAAGGGAAAAAACCTTTTCATCCATTTCTTTGATGAAGTTAATAACATGCGCTGTTTTAGGTTTGGAGGCAAGAACCTCAGAATCCGAAAGCGCAAGTGAAAAAAAACACGTGCCGGCCATTTCGGAGGCATGCATGACATCACATTCATGTATGGGCGCTGCCATCTTGGACGCAGCAAGATGTCAGTGCCCATACTAAACAAAATAATATTTTCCCATATATAGTTTTTCGTATATTCGGGAAAATAATAATTTGTTATTTCAAATTTGGGCAAACTGCTGAATCAACGGAATTTCACGATTCAGCAAGTTCTTCCGAATACGAATGCACATGTCTAGTACTTACCTATCCGGTAAATTTGGAATATAGGTGTGCGTTCTGTTGTATACTTTAAAATTAGATTTTTGTGTGTGCGTGTTAACGTGTCGTTTTTGTTTTATATTGCCTTTGTTTTCCTTGGTCTTAAAAAAAAGAGTATTAATAAAGTATAAACAGTATTAAAAATAATAATAAATAATAAAAAAAAAAAATAATAAAGAAAGAATTAAAAAAAACTAAAAAAAAAGAATAATTCCTTCTACAAAGAAAGTCACATACGTAAAATAAATATATTTCTAGTTCTATTAATCTGAAATGGAAAAATGGAAGTCATTTTTTTTTTAATTAAGGAACTCAAACAGGGATTATAAAGGTGGACAGAATAAAGGTAAAAAATACATACACAGCAGCACAATAGCAGACGAGCATGCATATAGGGGAGAGTTACTGGAAAACGTAAGCCTTTGTTACACAGGACTGTATCCATCTGCTGTAGTGAACAGAAGGAAAACTTTTGGGATTGTCACATCCAGACACACACACACACACGGAATCAGGCTTCTGAGTCCAAGCAGCAGGCGGAGGCTTGGCCACCGTAGACAGGCTGCTGGCTAATCCTTCAGGGCTCACTTAAAAGATTAGAGGTGGGTGGTGCTAAGATTCCCTGGACTGGGTAAGGAGTTTGGAAGCAGGCAAACAAGCACAGACTTTTAATTCACTTCTTGAGCAGCATATAAGCTCCAGCTGTCTGTACTTGCAGCTGCAGAGGACTTAAGGAGAGTGAAAAGGAGAGTGACATAACAAGGGAACACCAGGGACAAAAAAGTTCTTGAGTCCCACTTTAACCGGCACAAAGGAGGAAAAAGATTTGACTTCTTTTTGGACCTGATTTATTTTTTTAATTCTTCACAAGGAAAAATTTGGACAAAAAAATAGAAGCATCTCTAAGCCTATTCATGAATATCATCTGAGAGCTCTTCAAGCCGGATTCGGTGCAGTCATGCAGTTCCAGTGGAATATTGTGGCTTGTGTGAACTCCTTGCTCTTTGGGTTTGTTCTCTGGAGCTCCGCTGAAGAATATGATTACTACAGCTGGCAGTCGGACAATTTTCAGAACGGACGCTTTTACACCAAGCAGAGCCAGTGCGTGGACATCCCCCAAGACCTCAGCCTGTGCCATACCGTTGGCTACAAGAAAATGAGGCTGCCCAATTTGCTCGACCACGAGACCATGCCCGAGGTGAAGCAGCAAGCCAGCAGCTGGGTACCACTGCTAGCGAAGAGATGCCACAGAGATACACAACTTTTCCTATGTTCTCTCTTCGCGCCCATTTGTTTGGAGAGACCCATTTACCCGTGCCGGTCACTGTGTGAGGTGGTGCGTGACAGCTGTGCCCCAGTCATGGAGTCCTACGGTTTTCCTTGGCCGGAGATGCTGAACTGTAATAAGTTCCCCATCGATAACGACCTGTGCATCGCTGTGCAGTTTGGAAGCAAGCAAGTTACTCAGCCACCAGGTAACTCTCACAAAATCTATGGAATACTTGAGAGATATACACTGTATAACTTATACATATTTTTGATGGGTTTTTATAGGAAATGTTGGGTGGTATAGAATATATGCAATTTATAGAGGCGTTCTGTAATAACTAGGGACAGGTCTACTTAACTAATGAGTCGCCTTTGCAATTTTAAATGATTTGCCTAGAATATACTAAACCTCGTTAAAAACAGAATAAGGGGCATACCTTCGCCCCGTCGTATATAACGATTTTGGGCAATTAGTGTTTGTATACTGTTTGCTCTATGGAAGCAAATGTAAAAGACATAGAAGGATACAGTGATATCTCATTCTGATTCTCTAACCAGGGTATGTTTCATGGGGATGCTTAACTGTACACCACCTTTGCTGGGGCTGCAGCACACTGCACTTTGGGTTGGACACAAAGTTAGAAGAAAAGCATTAAGGAACTACATTTATGTCAACCAAATACAGGGTACACAGTGTCATTATATTAAGCACTGCATTTGAAGGCATCAAGAGGGTTTCATATCAGTAAGTTGGCCATAGACAGGCAGATGTTTGCAGCAATTCATCTGTCTGTCCAGGCTTGTAATAACTGCTGCGCTCCTGAGCCTGCTTCTAATCAGTGTGTCTGCAGCTAATATCTCTATGACTGCTATAGGTCTTAGATATAGCGTGCAGTTCTCTGTTATAGGTTGCTCGTATCACATGCACTACACAGTTTTTCGCTATAGGTCACTTACATCGCATACATTGCACAGTTCTCGGTTGTAGGATGCCAGCATTTTATACACTGCGCAATTCTCTTTTATAGGATGGCAGCATCACATACACTGCACAATTCTCTGTTATAGGTCACTTGCATCACATACACTGCGCAGTTTTCCGTTATAGGTCGCTTACATTGCATACACTGTGTAGTTTTCTGTTATAGGTCACTTGCATCATATACACTGCACAGTCCTCTGCTATAGGTCACTTGCATCATATACACTGCACAGTTCTCTGCTATAGGTCGCTTGCATTGCATACACTGCACAGTTTTCTGTTATAGGTCACTTGCATCACAAACACTGCGTTGTTCTCTGTTATAGGTCACTTGTATCATATTCACTGCACAGTTCTCTGCTATAGGTCGCTTGTAACACACACCCTGCGCAGTTCTCTGCTATAGGTTACTTGCATCACATACACTGCACAGTTCTCTTCTAAAGGTTGCTTGCATCACATACACTGCACAGTTCTCTGTTATAGGTCGTTTGCATCACGTATACTGCCGAGTTCTCAGCTATAGGTCGCTTGCATCACGTATACTGCCGAGTTCTCAGCTATAGGTCGCTTGCATAGCGTATACTGCCGAGTTCTCGGTTATAGTACGCTTGTATCACATACCCTGCGCAGTTTTCGGTTGTTGGTTGTTTGTATCACACACACTGCGCATTCCTCTGCTATAGCTTGCTTGTATCACGTACCCTGCGCAGTTCTCTGCTATAGGTCGCTTGTATCACATATCCTGCGCAGTTCTCTGCTATAGGTCGCTTGTATCACATACCCTGCGCAGTTCTCTGCTATAGGTCGCTTGTATCACATACCCTGCGCAGTTCTCTGCTATAGGTCGCTTCTATCACATACCCTGCGCAGTTCTCTGCTATAGGTCGCTTGTATCACATACCCTGCGCAGTTCTCTGCTATAGGTCGCTTGTATCACATACCCTGCGCAGTTCTCTGCTATAGGTCGCTTGTATCACATACCCTGGGCAATTCTCTGCTATTGGTCGCTTGTATCACATACCCTGCGCAATTCTCTGCTATAGGTCGCTTGTATCACCTACCTTGCGCAGTTCTCTGCTATAGGTCGCTTGTATCACATACCCTGCGCAGTTCTCTGCTATAGGTCGCCTGTATCACATACCCTGCGCAGTTCTCTACTATAGGTCGCTTCTATCACATACCCTGCGCAGTTCTCTGCTATAGGTCGCTTGTATCACATACCCTGCGCAATTCTCTGCTATAGGTCGCTTGTATCACATACCCTGCGCAGTTCTCTGCTATAGGTCGCTTCTATCACATACCCTGCGCAGTTCTCTACTATAGGTCGCTTCTATCACATACCCTGCGCAGTTCTCTGCTATAGGTCGCTTGTATCACATACCCTGCGCAATTCTCTGCTATAGGTCGCTTGTATCACATACCCTGCGCAATTCTCTGCTATAGGTCGCCTGTATCACATACCCTGCGCAGTTCTCTGCTATAGGTCGCTTCTATCACATACCCTGCGCAGTTCTCGGTTAAAGGTCGCTGGCATGGCATGCACTATCCAGTTATCAACAGCAGAGAGAAGATCAATCCCACCACTATCACAACAGCAAAGCATTTGTCCAGAAAAATCCAGGCCGTTATTTCATAAAGTGACTTGCAGCAGCCAATGGCAGATCAAATCTGGCTGCCAACTGTTAATCTGCCATTTGCACATTAGTAGTTCATGGAATTTAGAACACAGAAATTAGAACCAGTTACACACTTGACACTTTTTCTCCCAGTACAGGTTTTCATAGACACTTTACTTTAAAACTGCTAAGATCTAGCAAAAGACTCCCACACAAGTTATTTCGTATAGCTCTATACCTATAGAAGATATGCTCTGACTTCAGAAATGTATCAAGATGTCAAATGACTGACCCAGGCCAAGGCTCTTTAATGGAAATATGAAACGCGCTTTTCCTTTAGAATTCAAGTCAAGGGTCTGTAATGGAAATATAAAATGCACTTTTCCTTATGAAATGAGAACGAGGGTCTTTAATGGAAATCCAAAATGCACTTTTGCTTTAGAATTCAGTGCGCTGGGGCTACTTGCATACAGTGCGAACACTTTAATCGTTGAAAAATAAAATGCCTGCATTCCGGACCTGACATTATTCTCTGAACAGATAAGAATGTAGACAGCTCCCCGGAGACTTGTGTGAATGGAATATATTAAGAATTTCAACAGAACTTCAATGAAGTTAAAAAAAAAAACCTTTAAATATGAACTATGTTGGTATCACACTCTTAGCTCCCCAGAAAACTAGGAATTCTTCAAAGAACCTAGCGAGGATTAAAATTTAAACATGAGCACTACTGAGAAGTGAAGTCTCAGATCTGCCCCATTCTTTCGGGGTTATGTGAAATATTTTTTTTTCCCTTCCTTCCTTGGAGCTGAATTCAGAAACAAGAAAGAACGCTCTTCCCTTTTATGTGGACAGACACAAAAGCTAGAGTAAATAATATAAATAAACTTCAGTGCGCAAGAACACAAAACAGCTAAAAGTACAAGTGTTGAAACTACTCGACCGGTTGGCTTGAAACAACCACATTACACATTCTCTCCAGATATAAGAAAGAGTCTATGAAATCCTTAGTCAAATAAGCTCTATAGAATAAAAGGATTTGGAGTGCCTCTTGCCACGCAACTTTGGAGGATGACAAGAATATCTGAAGCGATTTTCTCACTTCCTAAATAAGCTTAGGCCATTGCTGAAAAAAACCAAACCATGATGTATGTTGAGTGTTTAAAATAAACACACGTATAAAAGGATAAGCGGTGGATAATACTTGTCAAAATGCACGTTTGTGTTCTCAATGCAAAGCCCACACACCTGTTTTTTGATCATGGTGGCAACTTCATGTGATTGTATTATTATACCACAATGGGGGGGTTCAATACAGGGTTTGCAACACGTTTCTGGAGTTATGGTAGTATTAGAAAGTCCTGCGGCAAATTCATGAAAGCCGCGTGACAGTTCCCTTGTTATGAAGTAGTCACACGCACACAAAGTCCTACGTGTTAAATGCTCAACATACATGGTAGCACCAGTGGATAACACCAGTTGGTTTCCACTGCTGGCATGTATGTTTAGCTCCGAGTTCACATGTAAACCAAAAATCGGCTGCCTCACTCTACTAAGCCGAATGTAGACTGAATGTAGAGTGGGTAAACCCCACAAGGACACCGCTGCCGCCCCTCTGCGCCCTGCCTCCCCGAGGCCGGGCCTCGGTGGCCTTGTGGGGAATCCGGGCCTGGCAACATTTCAGGGCCACACATGCCCCCCCCCCCTATTAGGCTGATGACGGGGGTCCGGTATGGCCCTGTCTGTGACATTGTGCTTTCTTTCTGACAATATCTAACAATAAAAGACATTGGTTTGGACACATTCCTACGGTGTGCTGGTGACATATTTTTTCTCCCTGTTTAGTGAGGCGCCATGCACAGCCATGTCGGGCACCCATCTCCTCTGAGCTTTCTGGTGGGAGTGCGGTGGGATACCAACCAGAGTAAACCCACACAAGCACAGGGAGAACAAATACACTCCATGCAGCTAGTGTCTTGACCAGAATTCCAACCAGGGACTCCCAGCAATGCAAGGGAATGTACAACCACTAAGCCACAGTGCTGCCTGACATGCTTGTGCGAATCATGGTATTGACGTTTTGATATTCTGTAAATTGCTACTGGTTAGTCAGTATATACTATCACCATTACAGATTGAGATGGCCAAGTAATGTTTCAATATAATCTAATTATTTTCTCAGACCATACATGGCTGTAATAGGCTACACAGACAAAGAGAAGGCGTATATAACTTGTCTCTGTTAGTTTTCTAACTTCTAACAGAAGTATAACACGCTGATGGGTGAAGCATCCCACTGGCATCCACCCATATCAGAATGATCAGTTCTGGGCAGACTGACTCTATGATGTGCAGTGGGAGCTGAGTTTTATGTAGCTTATTGCATTAGAGACTTCTCATACAGCTATTCTTCTTTGTAGCACAGGTTCATTATGCAGATATAATAAATTGCATGAGAATAGCTGAGGTTTTATCAGATGCTAAGCTAACAGACCAAAGCAGAGTTTTGGAGACTTTGGGAAAAAGATTATGGTACATAAAACTATTTATACAATACATACTCCTTCTTAACACACACACACAAACACAACGGCTTGAGCAAAAATAAGACACCGGTAATGGTTTGTAAAAATCATTAAGACTGCTTGTACCACCCTTAACTTTACTGAAAACATGCTGCTTAATTTCTCACATAGCGGCATTAAATGCCTATGTCAACATGTCTTCATATAACATAAAGAGACTGTACTCATCATCTTACAATGTATATATTGTTCACCAAATTAAACCGTGAAGACATACAAATGATAAATGACACATAGAGGTCCTATAGATCGTAGCAGAGCATCCCAGAGGGAGCCTGTGAAAGTCCTGTTCAGAGTTTATAGGTCTCCCAGGTTCCTCTCCTATACATTTAGGGATTGCTGATCCGGGCTCCAGTGCAGGGTTTACTCCTCTCTCCACTGGTAATTTAACCTCACCTGGAACCCGTAGTCAGAGCTCTCGGCCTTGGGATAAGGCAAGTCCTGTCTGAGAGAGCTGCAAGGTTGGTGAAAACTAGCAAACTGTGTCTGTGGAGACTGACAAGTGGTAGGCCTGCTCAGCCTGTTAGTTAGGACCTATATTTTTGTTTATGAAGTTCGTGCCGGGATACGGCTGGGCTTTATTTTTGTTATTTTCTTGTGAACCGCTGTACAGCACCTGTGAAGGCTCTTGTAGATCTCACCAATAAACACTGCACTGTTTGCCACTACTCCCTTGTATTTGGTATCTGTGCTCAAGAGACTGCTTATTCCCAGGGGGCTTATGTACCGGCTACCGATCGCCTGCTCACAAGATCATTCTCAGAAACTTTGAAACTGCCCGCGCCAGTCCTCAGCATGAGCTGTTTTAATACTAAAGAAGGCCATATAGGTCCATTCACATTCGCTGACATGCAGGTTCATATGTGTGGATTGATTTCAGTGATAGTGTATAACACACTTAAATCAATAACAGTCACAGTGAGACAGATTTACTGTAAGCTGCCACATTTTCTATCATTTCAAAAGTAGCACTGCCCAAATGCAAAATATACTCTTGGCCCAGTCTAAGATGTGTGTATGTGCTTGAAGGAAAAGCATGGAGGCTGACCATTGCTGAGCCCGCATTCTGGACCACTTTTTGCCTAGCTGTCATTCTGATCCACTAGCCAAGACTTTATGAGGTTCATTTATAAAAGTATGCACGGCACCAGCAACCCTAGATGGTGCTAATGAATATGGGGGGTTCCTATACTCCCCAGCGCCATGTAGGGGAGATAATGCCACGCAGATGGCATCTGCCCAGCGTATATTTAAACGGCAGGTGGAACTTTTAGACATGAATCCCCTAAGACTGTCTAAGTGATTGACCATGGACACATATGCAGACCAGATCTTTTTCTCTTAATTTGCTGATCTGCATACTAAGTTTAGATGGAACGCAGTCACATTAGTTCCGGGTGAGGGCGACCGCACTGCGGGCGGGGCCCATGGCTGCGGTGCCATTTACTTCAATGCACTGCCATGCCCCCTCTCGCCCCTGAATGCAGGGAGCCAGCCGGCTTGCATTCCAGAGGCCAAACACTCTGGAATGCAGACTTTGTGGTGTGAAACGGCCCTCTCTCTTGGCTGTCTCTTCTCTCTTTCCTCATGCTCTCTCTCCCCTGTTTCTATCTGCTGCCTCTTCTCTCTCTCTGCTGTCTCTTCTCTTACTTTCTCTGCTGTCTCTTCTCTCTCTCTGCTGTCTCTCTTTTCTCTTCTCTCACTTTCTCTGCTGCCTCTCTCCTGTCTGTCTTTTCTTACCTCCACTGCAGCAGCTTCCCAGATCTCCTCTCGTGCGCCGGTGTCCTGTCCTCCCGCGGCGCTCGTGTGGCCGACGTTGCACACGGGAAGAGGTGCCCGCCCCTTCTCATCTGCAGCGTCTAACACATGCAGCCGCACGAGCACCGCGTGGGGACAGGACACAGGTGAGTGAGCTGATCACAATCTACCAGTGTTCGTTTTGCGATCGACCGGTAGATTGTGAACGACCTATTGGGCACCTCTGGTCTAGCCATTCCCAAATGGGGTTCCTGCAGAGATTGCTAGAGGTTGCTTCAGCTGTGGCTGATTGATCTCCCATTTGATAATGCCTTCATAGTTCTGAGGCCAAGGTCACTTGGCACAGCCAGCAACATGACACTAATGAATTTTTTAGCCAACTGTAAGGGTGGCATTCTGACCACCACATTAAGGGAAGCATTTTCCCCACTGGTAACCATTGTAAGGGGCATTTTCCCAGTGACCCCCAATTAATTGGTTTTAGCAGGGGTTCCCCTAGACCTGAAAATTATTTCAAGGTTTCCTCTGGGATGAAAGGGTTGAAAAAAGTTGGGTTAATCAATACAATGCTTGTCGAAAAATGGCTTTCCTTTAATCTGATCATGCTATCCGTAGTAAAGTAATAAAGATGCATTAACAGTCAATGATGACACATGCAGAAAAGTTCTCTGCCTCAGGGAAGTACAGTCTGATTAAGTTCAACCAAAACAAAACTATTAGGTCAACATTTACTGCACATGTTAACCTAACGTATAAGGATCAAAGAGCAACACATAGGCCACATGGCGTATATCTGGAAAGGGTTCTTCGAGTGAAGTTTAGGGAAGTTTTAAACTTTAAAATTGACCACAAAAAAGGTTTAGCTCTAATATTGAAAAATCTGACATTTCAGATACACAAGGCATAGTTTCAGAACTTATAGTGAAAAGCTGCTTGCAGTAGAAGGAGAAGAGGAAGATCGGCCAGATGGTTAAAAACTTTAACTGGATTATGAATATCCTCACATTTTTACTGTTTAGAGCATGATTATGAGAAGATCATGACCTACTGCCAGAACCTGTCATAATCTGACCACAGAAGTCAGAGCACAGGCAGCACTTTGACCTCAAGGGATTCCCTGTTGCTGGTTAAATATTTCATTGTTGGCAGCAGTGTTTTTTTGGAATCGCAAATAGTACACCACAGTGAATACTCCTTGGCCTGCTTTACAAGAATTTCCAAAACCTTTTAATAAATACTTAGGGCCTGTTCACATGATTTTCAGGTCCTGATCAGGTCCGGATCAGGTGTGGATCTTCAGACGCGGTGCTATGTGTTTTGCCACGTTTTGGCTGCGTTTTGGCCATGTTTTTGATGCGTTCCAGTAAACAAACAAAAAAACTATTATTTTTTTTGCTGAAGTGGGGCTGTAAGTATGTTAGCTGCAGTGCAGTGCGTTTTTTATGTGTTTTGCGTTTCAGGACCGTTTCCTGACCATACAAAATGTGACATGCAGTATTTTTCTGTCGTAACACGAACGAACTGCGCACGTGAGAACTGTAGCCCATAAAACACATAGGGAGACATTGGGATGCATTTTTTAGTGCAGGAGCGTACGAATCAGGTCAGCACAGAAAACGGATGTCGTGTGAACAGGCCCTTAAGGAGTATCCAAACCCCAAACTAATAATATATAATATATTTCACCTCACCAGTCCTAACATGAGGTGGCTAAATTTGTTTCCTGTTTTTTCCTTTGTTTTCACTCAGTAATCCTGCAAATAACACACTTATTATCCTAGGGTGACAATAGTTAATCCTCCACTGTATCTATTGGGGAGCCATGGTTGTCACCAAGGCTGGACTTTAAATATGTCTTCCTCTTTTCATCTCCATTACATGGGGGGGAAATGTAGTTTACAGACGGAAGATAACATAAGCTTTAAGTTAAGCTCACAGGAAGTGAAAAGGACATTGCATGTCTGGCAAGATCAACAGATATTAGTTGAAAATTTCCGTTTGCCTGAAAAAGAACACTAATGCAGCCATCAAATCTATTGACTTAACAGTATAATTTATTAAATGTATATTTAAATGTTTATTAAATTGTTGCACAGGGGATTTTTAAGGGGCGTAGATAAAGACAAATATAGGTACTTATGCTAATTGCATTTAACATGTTATATCTAGGCAAATATGAAATACAGAAAATAATGCATTTCTGCATTCATCATAAATAACATTTCTTAATGCAAGTACCTGCATTTGACTTGGTATCGGCCTCTTGGAAATCCCTGTAAAGCAGAGACCAGGCTGGTGGAGAGTGAAGCAGCACAAACAGCCAGTCAGTTGTGCCACAATACTTACGTGCTAACAAGGAGCATATGATAGGATGCTAGAGCAGTAATAATAATTTAAACCAAAGCGGGGTTTCCTTTTAGGGCTTGGCAGCTCTGTCATTGACCTGATGGTATGATTGGGTGCTACACACTCACAGGTAACAAGTCAGTGACACCGATGTGCATTTTAAATAGAAATTGTAATTTAGCAGTCATGGTCATTTACATTTACCATTTTACTGTCAGTGCCGAGTCACTTTCAATAGGATACCTAACTTCTTAAAGTGAGAAACGATAATGATGACAATCATAATAGTTAAAGTATGAGCATCTCTGATGTGCTATTTATGCCATGTGGAAAAAAAATCTAGAGATGGACACGTATTTATTAAACATCTAGTTTATTATAGTGGAGTTTCAACTGATAAACAATAGAAAAATCCATGTCAAATATTTACATGGGAAGGGTCTTATTGGGGATCTGTCCTCGGGAAATAGATGTTTGGCTTGCAGACACTTTTGCCAAACGGAGAGCTTCTGTCACAAACAGAGTGTGTAGTTGGGCAGTCCCAATTCTGATACACTAGCATTTTTGAGATCAGTACTCTCAGAGTTGCCGAGCAGAGAGAGTGATGCCTTACCCAAAGGCTCCCCTCCATTAACACTCCCTGTAACCCTATGGACCTGTCTCAATGGGCTTTGCTGGGCAATTGCAGCATGCTTTTAACATGAGTTTAGGACATTTCTGAGGTCATTCAGAATTCCCTTGGTAGAATAAAGACTTGTAGGGGGAAAGGAGCATCTCTAATGGGAATAAAAGCCTGTCAACATGAAACCTTGCTGTAACCCTGACCCTCTCACTAAACCCTTCCTGTAACCTGAAACCTTGCCACTACCCCTCTCTGTTTCCCCAAACCTTTCCACTAACCTTCCCTGTAACCCCAAAACTTTTCACTAACCCTACCTGTAACCCTAACCCTTTTTAAAACCCTAAAACTTTCCACTAAACCTTCATGTAACCCTAACCCTGTACACTAACCCTTCATGTAACTCTAACTCTTCACACTAACCCTCCCTGTAACCCCAACCCTCACACTAGCCCCTTCCTGGACCGTCACACTAACCCTCCCAGTAAACCCAACCCTCACACTAACATCTCCCTATAACCCAACCCTTTACACTATCCCCCTCCCTATAACCCAAACCCTCACATTGACCCTCCCTGTAGCCCTACACCTCACACTAACCCTCTCCTCTCTAATATAAACGTAACTCCATGTTTGCATCATCACCTTTCCTGCACTGAAATCCACTGTCTTAAAGTCCAATCCTTCCTATGCCAAAATAGAATTTTTTGACTTACCATGCCATTCTTTTCTCTAACTTAATTGAGAAACACAGCATTTGATTGAAGATCAGTCAGAACCAGGGGGTTATGCTGCCCACTTTACTTGTTCTGATTGATTGCCAATGAAATGCTGTGTCTCTCAATGAACATAAAATAAATACCAATGCCAGGATCCATCGGGAATGTACCCTGCCCATATAGTCTTAGTTGGTTCTCCACTGCCACTTACCACCACACATTGCTACATGCTCAGCTTTATCACAGCCCTATCCAATGTAATTTATAAAGATGGTTCATATCCACATTGGATCTGATATTGGCTTTCAGTTTTGTACAGTTGCAGTGCTCTCGAATATCATTATCACTCCACAAATGTAAAGCCCAACATTTGTGCCCAATGGAGAGATTTCATAGCAATTCTTCTCAGCTTGAAGCCCTGTTACAGCATGAAGTAAGGTGCCATCTATAACAGAGACATCAAAAACCTCACTGTGTTGGCTTGAGCAAAACATCTACTGCCACAACAATGCAACCCAATAAGCCAGCAGATTGATTTAATAGGGTATAAAATATATTATTTTCAGTTTGAGATTTTTTCTTTATTTTGTTGTTGCTTATTTTGCCCAGGGCACACAAGCACATAAAAGTTTCCTGTGGAGTTTGGCAGAATCTAGCCTCTGCCAAATTGGTGACACATAAATATTTTCATTGTTTCGTTGCGGAAGGTGATACAGCACATTTTTCCTATTTGTATTCATGGTTCCAAACATCCGACACCTGGGACTGCCGCTGAAATGTTAAAGCTGCGGCCACAGGTCCCTGGTGTTAATAGGAATCCGACAAGACTCAGATATTTACACTATTATTGCAAATGTGCCTGAATCTTGCATTTTTCACATCCAGGGAGACCCTTGCTGGATGCTTGAGATATACACCGATAGAGTAAAACAACAAATATATCATGAAATGTCTGCTGTGTTTATCCACCCTAACAGCATGGAACATTCCCTACAGTATGGAATATGGAAGCGGAAGCCACATGCTAAATCCATCATCTATCAAATGTTGTAATGAAAAGATAATGCATCCCATGTTTCAGGCATTTTATATCCAAGGTCCATGCGTCCTCTACTGTGAATACTAATGATCCCTGGTGTTCTGTTTCTATAGCACATCAATTACAGAACTATGAATTCATGGACTGGCTTATCTTTATCAGTCATGAGATTTGATATTTTTGACCCAAAGTGAACCTGTACATCGTTTTAGACATTTACAGAGTATATAAATCCAACAAAAACTTAAAGGGGAAGTATAGCGAGAGTACAAATACTCTTCCCAATACATAGAGCCAGCATGCCGGCCCTATATACCAACAGTTGAGTGATCATGTAATCGCTGACCGCTTCACTCATGGCTTCTTCCTGCAGAAAGCAATTACTGTCAGTCACCTTCCCTTGCAGTTGAGGTCAATGGTTGGAAAGAGCTGGGTGGGATGCCAGCCAGAGCATCCCCGGATGCTGAGAGCTGGGCAGGGAGATGAGTAAGGACCATACACATCTCCCCACCTGGCTTTTAGCAACCTGGGACGCTCTGGCCAGTGTCCTGCCCACATACATTTCTTCCCACATGCTCTAGTTCCAAACAGCCATTTGGAGAGATGTGTATGGCCCTTATACATCTCCCCTTCCGGCTCTTAGCAACCTGGGATGCTATGGCCGGTGTCCTGCAAACATACACATCTTCCCACAAGTTTCATTTGCAGAGCCCGACAGAGAGATGTGTATGGCCCTTATACATCTCCCTGCCTAGATCTTAGCAACCTGGGCTGCTCTGGCCAGTATTCAGACATGCTCCTGGCAACCAGTGATCTCACTGGTTGCCAGGAGCTTGGCGGGACACCGGCCATAGTGTCTCAGGTTGCTAAGAACCGGGAGGGAAAATGTGTATGGGAGAGAGGTGAGGAGAAGAAATTTGTCTACTTGGGTCGGGGAACTTTCCCTATATGTGCCATATACTG